CAGGAATATGGAGGCTGCAAGAATAACTGGGTGGTGTGGAGTAGAACAGGCAGCTAGCATGGTCGAACCTGTGACCACGCCACTTTGTTACATAAAATATTGAAACAAGTTAGGATAAGGTTATTTTCAGTTCAGATGGGCAAGTACAACTTCTACCGGACGAAGTCTCGGCTCTTTCATCGAGAAAATGACATTAACGTGGTTCATCTCGTCTCGGCAGAAGGGATGGGGTCTCTAAATGGCTTATAAAGGGCCAGGATATGGTTTAATGGCCTCGCGAGAGGCGCCAATTCTCTGAATTAGATACACAATCATATATTAATATTTACATTGCATAACGCAATGTATAGAAGAATCAGAACCCACGACAAAGAATGCGTTACCTTGAAAGTGGAAGTCAAGAAATCACAACCGAAGTTAAGTAGGGCCAGTCACAACAACAGGCTTTGCACAGGCAAAATTTAGATACATGCTATGTTACGTAATTATGACAATTTCAAAATGAATGGCAAGTACACTATATTCCTGAAACATGCGAAAGCCACCTCAAACTTTTCGAAGACTACTATGGGGATGAAGAGCGGTACGCAGAGGACGGAAAACTTCTAAAGTGTTGCCATTTGTTGAAAACAAAGGATCTATATGTCCCAAAAAAGCTTTTAACAGTCTGGCTTATGCATTAGGGTGTTGACCACAGTTCACGGGAGAAAAAAAAGAGGAATTATCACACGAAGTTACAATGGGTCGAGCTGGGCAAAAGCAGTTTTCGACGTCACTATACGCTGCCATAATATATGTTGGAAGAGAGCCAAATTTTTGAAGAGAGTGTGCAGAAGAGGAAGCTCTTTGTGCACAAAACACTTTTATCATCTATTTTCATTGTGTTGAGTCGAACCTTGCATCATGGTGGGTTCCATTGCGGGGGATCCGGGTCCGGTGGGGCGGTCGAGCCCCGCAGTGCCGAGACGATCGACTCGTTTGGTGAAGCCGACCGGCGAAGGGAAGGAGATATTTCGACGGGAGAATCATTGGTCGCAGATGTTAGGAAACAAGCGAATAAGCGCATCCGGCGAGCCTCATCCACAGATTCGGATTCGGGATCCACGGTCAACGTCGAAAACGAAACTGTGGGCAGCGAGGGCGAAAGGGCGCTGCTCTTACAGGTGCTGGAAGAGTTGAAGGATCTCAAGAACGAATCGATTAAACAACAGGAATTAATTTGCAAGCTGGA